TGAAAAAATAGCTTTTTCATATGTTTTACTAATTGATCGGCAAAAATTACGTAGACTTTTGTCCAGTGAGTGTATATCCACCCCCCCCATCACCTCCATCTTTAGGATCGGAACTAATAAAAAATTAATGAGTAAATGCATCATCATTATTTAGATATATCATTCGGTGTATAATATATCATGTATCCTATTCACCACACCCGAGGTAATATTCATCTCAGACGGCTTTCGGCAACGGAGCGAACGTTCACAGCAGGCCGTCCACCGCACGCCAGGACTGTTTACTTGACTGGCGACTTTCGCAAGCTGTGGCCACGACGCGCTTTCAATTCCCCGATTTACACCTAAGTGGCAGCGTAACTTCGAATACACAATAACTCAACAAATACTCAGTGAGAAATGCTCACCTCATTCTGTTAGCTCTAATCCCGCTATCTTGTAAGATTTTTAACACAACTCGCTCAAACTTTGTTCCAACTTCTGTAGTATTCGACATTCTAGAAATACGTCGTAGTTATTGAAATTGAATAGGATTTAAGATATCAGATTAGAGAAAATAAAGTGATAGTTTTTGTATAAAATTAATTCGTTACCTCGGCAAGGAGGAAAGTTTGTTAACTAGATGAAATATACAAGGGAAAAGTTAGATAGATTCATTCAATAAACGTTAGTTATTATAAGCAGACAATGGGAATTAATTAAAACAAATATAGTATCTACTCATCTTTTTCATATATAATTTCGTCCATTAATTCTCACGAATGTGGCTTTGATACAAGCCTAATATCATGTCTCACTTTTCAACTTTTCGCATTATTAAAAGCAGACAAATGGGGGTTAATTAAAACAAATATGGTATCTACTCATCTTTTTCATGTACCGTTTTGTTCATTAATTCTCACGAAATGTGGCTTGGTTATATACCGAGTTTTATTTAGACATCAAATATTCTCGAGAGATATATTAGAGAGAAAAAAGCCAATGCTATGCGACAAACAAGCATAGATCAATATTTTAATCAATAAATGAATAAAGTGTCATAATCACGTAAATTTACTATACTCTCCCTAAATGCACACTTTCACACTTTCGGTCCCAAGGGTGTGCATTTAGGGAGAGTTCACTGTAATAATAATAATAGTACTAATACTAACTGTAATAGTATAACCAAACCATTAATATTAATATCTGTATTTATAAATCTACTAAAGGCTGAACACCACTCTGCAAGTTCAAAGGCCCGCATGTTAACGCAAAAAATGGCAGGAGAAGTAAGTTAAAAAATACCAACTCATTTTGTTACAAGAGCAAATTTACTAAAAAAGGACTATATATTAGTATTCAAATTTTATTAATTATATACACGCTATATTCTTACTGTCTTTACCATATTTAATTTAACAAGACAAAGATTATAACTGCTAACAATTGTATTATTAATATAGTGTATTTATATAGAAACTATGCAGATTTCGGTTAGTGGAGGAAATATACTTGATTAATTATAGTCCAGAGCGCCTCTATATAGTGGAAATCGCTATATTGTGGATTTTCGTTCGATATAGTGGAGGGGTAATAATTATGGCGGATTAAAACGAAATCGGATTAAAACGAAATTTTGGGGTCTTTGGGGTTTCCTTTTAATGCCCTGAAACCCACATATACTCTTTTACTAACAAATGGTATCCTAAATCCTAACCCAGATTCCCAAAAAAAGGCTAAAAATTATCCCCCCAAAAAATTTTATAATTTTTATACTACACGTAATAGAAAAAATTTCGTTTTAATCCGATTTTGTTTTAAGAAAGTTTTTTCTTCTTTGTTATGGATGAACAGACAGTTGATATGGCTCTCTCACAGTCTTGGAATAGAGGTGGTCAAGAAACATTCAAAAATCGTGTTGCCTTGACTGGGGCAAAGTATGTAATTGACAAAAAATGATAAAGCAAGGCCTATTACTTGTTATAAAGAACTAAGAGAACTATAATAATACGATAGTTTTTATTATTTTAGACAATGTGTGAGATTGTTTGTTAATAATAAAAGATAATAAACCGCTTTTTAATCAAATTCGCTATAGTGTATGTCACATGATATATTATTAAATACACTATATTATATATGGTGAGATTTCTTTTTTGTGTATAGCCCGTTATAGTGTAGAAAACTGTTGGATTTTGTGTCTCCACTATAAAGAGAGCCACTGTGTATATATATAGTACTTTTTGGTTAGCATCCGTTATAGGTATTATCGAGAGATTACTAATAAACTCCGGTATATCGCGACACAATTTATTAGTGGTGGATTTGTTTCATGAAAAATATCCGTACTAAGCGATATCCGTTATACCGAGAGTCCGTTATATCGAGTTTCACTGTGCATATGACGAAAATTGATAATGCAGTCAGAGATTCCCCGATTTGTCAATATAGATAATTCTTTTTGTGGTAGCAAAAAAAAAATCTGGAAATCTTTGTAGGATATTAGAGAAAAGTTCTATCACTAACGCTTCGGACAACACATTTCAATTTTGTCTTTTTTTATTAGTATCAAATTAATAATATTTTCGGACAATGCATTTCTAACTTCTTGAAGAGTTCATCAAGTCATCGCGTACTGGCTTGATAAGCCTCGAAAACGTAATTTTTTTAAATCGCCTAAAAGAGATGACGCTGTGAAGGTGTAGAAGGAATTAACGATTTGAGTGTTTTGTGAAGTTCTTCCAATATTGCGCCGTGGCCTTGATGTTAATTTAAAAGTTTTAGATCGGGAAGTCACAATCTCAGATTGCGAACCCAGGTTTCAATCATTGCTTTTATTCTTCATCGGCAATTTCTCAGGTGGCGTCGAGCAGGCCAATGTTTCCTCTGTTCCCGTCATGTGATTTTTAATCTGCCAATCAGGTATGCCTAAAGTTTGTAATTTCAAGTAATAAAAAAATGACTCGACTCCTCTTCAGTCATTGGATTTTTTTCTCCGAGATATTAACTAATGAAGGTGGTAATTTATTGATTAAGCCTGAATACGCTTTATTAAATTTCATAATATACCCAATCGTAGTAATATCTCAACCAATCATGCTTAGATATCCATTCGAGCATGTGACCAAGAATTTGGGAGACAATTTGCGAATATTTGCGTTCATCAGGATAAAGCGATAGTAATTCTCGATAATTATGCATTTTTATATAGCTCCAAAACATTTTCCCCTTACGCTTCGCTCCTCTTTATGTAATCTTGGCCGATGCCGATTTTCGACCGTTACTCCCCCACAGTCTTCAAAGACATCTCGCGTGCGCCAGTACTACGCGGCAATATCAATCGGAGCCGCACTTGGCTCTTCAATCTTGCTCTACAACTACTTTTCCTCTTCCAATAAGCCTACTCTCGATCCCGCTGAATTTACCGCTTTTACGCTAACTCGAAGAGTGCCAGTGTCTCACAACACTGATATATTTCGATTTGATTTTCCTAAACCGATGCCTACTGATTTACCTGTCGTTTCTTGTGTGCGTGTGAAAGACGATTCGATGCAAGTTGCAAGACCATATACACCAATCAGTCCGACGAATGAGAGGAGATTTATTGACTTGTTGGTGAAAAGATACGAGAATGGACAGGTATCGAAATGGTTACATGGATTGAAAGTGGGTGACAAAGTCGAGATTAAAGGACCGGCCAGGACACTTGATTATAAAGAGAATATGAAAAAAAATATTGGAATGGTAAGTGACAGAGACGAGTGGTGATGTTGTGCATGCGATGGGAGTGAGTGAAAAATAAAAAAAAACAAAACTGATAGGTTGTTTTCTGTTTGTTGTCCGCGATAGTAGATTGCTGGTGGAAGTGGAATTACTCCAATGTAATCTATCGAAATCAATAATACACTATTCTATGACGATCTCTTCGGCCAAAATCATTCTTTTCTGATATGGGTTTGTTTTACTTTTAATTTTATCTAGGTACCAACTGATAAATCACATTCTCTCCAATCCTGAGGACAAAACAAAAATGTCTCTAATTTATGCCAACGTGACTGAAGATGATATCTTGCTTCGCAAAGAGCTGGATGCACTCGCTCGTGCTCATCCTGACAGGTTTAAAGTATACTATACACTTGACAATGCACCAAAGGGATGGACACAAGGTAGTGGGTATGTGAACAAGGAGATGGTCATCGAAAATATGCCAAAAGCTGAGGACGACGTTCTAATAATCACATGTGGCCCACCTGGGTAGGTATAACAAAATGCTGTAACATTGGCTCTTTGCTTGTGATCTCAATTGCTGTATTTATATTTATAGGATGATACGTCATGTGGCTGGCGCGAAGGGCAAAAATTGGACTCAAGGAGAAATTGGTGGAATTCTAAAACTAGTGGGCTATACTGAAGAACAAGTGATCAAAATGTAGAATGTTGATGTTAAAAGAATACAAATTTGAGTTGGTGTTGAAAAAGCTTATTTCCTGTAAAGACTTTATCCGTTATATTACATTAAAGCTTGACAGATCGGGATGCATGTCCTTATTAATACTGTCTAATAAGACTCTGTGTTATAGATAATACACCAACGTTGAACTATATATGCTGCTTCATCACCGATAAACTCTTCATTGATTATATTTAATCAATCAACCAATGCACTTTAGTGGAATTTACGCGCCTTATTATACAGATATACCATTATTTGTTTATATCCCAGCGCATCAAGTAAACTGGTATGCTAAAATATGAATACTGACTTTACTTTTCATTGTTCAGGAAAGACAGATCGTATCGACCTATCATCACCAATGCATGTGATTCTGGATAGTGTAACTGGTATGATAATCACACGAAATTCTTTTTCAGTATAATCTTTTATTCCCAAGATGTCATCGGCCAGATTTAGATTCCTACTTAACCACAAGTATTTATTTGGTGCCAAATTAATAAACATTCAAAGAGCTAGTTTTTCAACAACCATCCCTGCGCTGGCGAAAGCCCAAGGTGCATTAACGCAAAGTTCTTTGTCTCGGAAAGAATTAGAAACATGTAGTTTGATCATAGTCTAAATTTTATCCTAGTAAAGAAAGAAGTCAAGAAAAAAGCTCCCGCTTTCAAACAAGTTAGAAATGAAGAGAAACCAAAGGGGAAAAGAAGCCAAGTGAGTAGGGAAACATTTATTTAGTGTTTTTTTTTTTGCCTGTGGTACTCAAAACTGGTTTCTATCTTAGAGTTCAACAGGTTTCCACGAATCAAACGTTGGAAAGAGTAACCCCAAGTTTTACAAACAAAAACCAATCGTTCAAGTTGAGGAAGCAAAACCGGTGACTATGATTTATTATTTGCGTAATGGATCATTCAGATTATAACCATGTGGTGTTTGACGGGCCATACAAGATAATTTCTTGTAATGGAAAATCGTCTCCTGTTAATGTGATCCAACTCTTGCATGGATATACCAACATGAACGTATCCGTAAGCTGTTCTTATATAGTATTATTATTCTGATCAACATTAGGGAGGTTTAAGTGTGGATGCAGTTGGAAAAATGTATACATACCCTAATGATATTATGGAAAAAATCAATGTCTTTGGGGTACCTCTAGTTATGTCTAAAGAGGTAAATAATCTTATAAACATTATCACATTACGCGTCAATTGTGATTGGTATTATTTAAAACAAAATGCTATGATCATTGTAGATGAAGATATTTCCAAAACTTTCATGGGTTGCCAGAGATGCTACATTAGACCTAGCCAAGAAATTGGATGAATCTAAAAATAAGCCTAGCACAGAAACAAGAATTATATTGGGTAAATTATACATATGTTTTTTTTTTTACAAAATCTCAGACCCTAAATCATCTATGATCCTTCTTTTTCTTGTTTTAACACAGTTGGTCCGTTGGGAGTAGGCAAAAGCTCAATATTGTTGCAAATGGTTGGGCATGCTCTAGCAGCAGATTGGATTGTTATTTACATACCTAGTGGTAAGTGTCTAGGATAGACATAGTATTTGCACGTTCTTGCGTTGCATTTATTTGAAATATTATTAACTTTAACTAAATAACAACAGCAATTGATTTAATCAACGGCAAATATGCATATGTTCAAGTTTCATCGGATAACTACGTTCAGCCAACTTTGATCGTTAAAATACTCAAGCAAGTTCACAGCGTTAACAATGACAAGTATGTATTGCTTTATGCTGGGACGTATCGAGCTGGTATTTTCAATCCGGTTTGATTACGTAAACGCATACGGTCTGTTTAGCAAAAAGCTTAAGAAAATAGCTTTATGGGTTCTCTTGATATCCAATGCGTTTATGTGGCAAAAAATTCGGAATAGTTTAAAAGTCAAAAACAACGGGAATGGAGCGCGTTGTTAAACAGATTTTATTATACATATATTATAATTTTCAATTGGCAGGTTCACTGTACAAGATTACAAAACAATTGCAGACCTAATTGACAGAAGCAAGTCGGGGCCTGCGGCACAGACCGCGTTGGAACAGATGTTCGATATAATCGACAAGTCATCGTAAGTACTTACTTATTTTGAAACAACATCAACGTTTCACACATGCAATTAACTATTACCTGCTTAGCATGCCAGTGTTGCTTGCAATTGATGAAATTAATGCATTGTATGTCACGACAGAATACACGTCGCCTGATCATACATTACTTGAGCCAGGAAAATTGCTCTTGCCAAGAACGCTTCTTGAATACATTTCTGGACGGAAAAAATTTGTGAGCCAAAATTGTCAATTTGAGTCTCTCTCTTATTTAATGGGTTTTCAATTGACCATGTAACATTATCTTTACAAGCGAAATGGCGCAGTCATAGGTGCTACATCACTCGTTCATAAACCAACTCTTAGTTATGCGTTAGACGCGGCGCTTCATTTGACGGAAGTTTCACCATGGAAACAGGTTTCACCAGAGATAGCTCGATATATCAACAAGGAAGTGAAACGTTATAATATTTCCGAATATTCGAAAGATGAAGCAAAGACGTTATTAGATTTTTATATTAGGAATAATGTTGTGCATGAAGGTAAACATTTCTTTACTGCGCAGTTCGTAGACATCGTTCATGTTACTGAATAATTAATCTCTTTCTTTTTTTATCGCGTATGCAACCAGATGCAGATGCTACAACCAGTGAAAGCTTTACAAAAAAATACATGTTAAGCAATGGAAATGCGAGAAAGTTCCTTGAATACTGTTCTAAAAGACTATAGAGTCAGAAGTTCTAGAGTAAAGGGGACGGTCAGAATGTGTGAATAGTTTGTATGCGCGTTTTCATGGGTCTCTGTCGCCCTCCTCCCATCATTAATATAATACGTGTGCGTTAACGGAATATTGTTGACCAAAAGTTATTCGTCGCCAAAAAGTATTGTTCTTATCACGTACAAAACGATATGCCTCTGAGAGTGTTTTAAATTTTATGAACCATCGAGATGTCCATACCGTCTTTCCTCTGCATCGTTTGATGAATAAAGATTGTCGAATCAGGAATTATACGCGAAACTGAAAAGATTGTATATAGCAAAATTACACGAGAGACCATACATACAGCTGTATATTCTCGATGCTATTTGGTCCTGTATCAATATCATAAGTCCTGTACTCTATCCACAGCATATCAGCCTCTGTCGCTTTTGGTAGCCCAGAGAGCAAGACGGATCTGCCGGATGCGCCTTTCATCAGCGGATGGCAAGCTCTTTCTGGAAGCAGATCGCTGTTTTCATACTATTTGCATGCAAATTGAGTAAACAATTTAGTAATAAATAAATAATCAATTGACATTTAAGACGCGCAGTGAAGGCCGGTTGAACAATCACAAAGATATGTCATCGTATACCGCGTGAAAGGAGAATACAGTACCGAAGCAATCAATGCGTACTTACAAGATAGTCAAAAGCGATTCTGCTCCCTCCGACAGTAGCCATTGCGTTATCTCTAACAAAGCTTTGCGCTTCATGGCTATTCCTAAATTGGCAGACTACTCGTCCGCTGAATTCGAGTTGTCTTGAACGAATAAATTCGACTAGGCACACAAAAAAAAACATACCGGAAATTGCGAAAAATATTTTTAGTGTGTATATAAATGCATAGTTACATCAGTCTTAAAATCTGTTTCGACTTACTTTGCGGCATTGGAATTACAAAC